TGAAAGTTTCTAATTTTTGAAATTGAAGAACAAAAATTGATAACAGAAAAAGAAAGTAACGATTTGCATTAAAAACTTAAAGTTGCATTTCTACTTGAACGAAAAAGAAAATTGTTCGATTCAAAATCACAAAAATGTACATGAATATCTTTTGTATTTACACACTATAAATACGCAAATATTTAAGGCTCGCACGCGACCGTGAAATCAGAATAGCAGGCCAAAAACTTGTTTTCACGAAGCCCACAGCCGAGCGTGTTTACATTGCCGCATATCACGGCGAAGAGTGGGGACTCGTGGCTATCCATTCGTTATTCGTTAGTTGACAAGAAAGGAAGCACCTTTGTACCAGTACTTGTTTATTTTCCTGTATTTATCTTACAAATTGTGTTTAAATGAATGTTTTTAAACTGTTCACGTGTGAATTTCGTTCAACTTAACCTGAGTTCGTGATTGAAGAGGAATATGCAGTACAAAACAACGATGCAAAGAGTTTGTCAACTACGGTAAGCGTATTCGATTTTGAATGTTTGTTTCGGAAAAACAGAAAAAAAAACTGATCACATCGAAGTATTTTCGTTGTTACGTGACTCTCGCGTGCGTGAGAATCAAATACGTGACACCTATTCTCACTGGCTATGTTTATTATACTAGTATTGGTTTTATGAGAGGACAAAATAGGAGACAGTTGGGCGATAAAAGTGAGGAAGGGGGAATAATGTAGCTTGGCCACAGCTGGTGATTATGTGTTTCTGTTGTCAGTATACAGCTTTTTAACGCATATTTAAAATCTAAATTTTGTGTACTGTGACCTCTGGATATTTAGTATGTATATTCTCAAGGTTTTATACCTTTTTTACATATATTATATATTTTAGAAACTTATATCTTTTTGGACACTCTGTGTATTTTATATATATATTATGCTTTTTATTTTTTAGTACTTTCTGCATACCATATTATTGTATATCCCTGTACTGTACATTTTATAGGTGTCTATTATATATTTTTAATTTCTAAATACTAGAATACCTTGTATAAGTATTTTCTATATTCTTTAGACATACTATTAAGTATTCTACATCTTTTATGCATTCTATGCAGCCTGCAAATCTCTTTCTGAACATACTCCCAATATATTGCATAAATATTAGCATTTCTCTGACTCGACACACTAGAAGAAGAAAAATAGTAGAAGTATCAAAATATGGTTTAAGTAATCCCTATACCTTTTCATACTCCTATTGTAATTTCAGATCATGGTCCAAAACTATTCTCTGTATTTTCTCCTTATTTTTAACTTACTATTGAGTATCAAGCACAATGTACCTAATCCCCATACCATCTATCATTTCAATTCTGCCTTAGTAACATCTGTTACCAGTAGAAAGGAAGAAAAACAGCATCATAACAGGAATAATACTTTTTCTTCATCATTGTTACAAAAATAATTCTTATTCATATATTAACTTAGTTTAAAGCAACATTATACATGATAATAAACTAGTATGTGTAAATTCATGGAAATTTTGAAGTAACCTGCATAGAAAAATTACTGTAGTAACATTGACTTCATGTATCTGAGAGTAAGGTATTTCAAAATCTGTTCATGTTTCCAACGCAAAAATCTCGTCATCGTATCATGCGGAGCAACGTGACTGGTGTTTTATGTTGCTTCTGAGGAGCGATTCCTCGAAACCGTTCGCTTGACGTGACTTCTCAGTGAAGAATCGGTTCCAGTGTGGGTTTTGGGTAAACCCATGGGTTAGGCGCGTATGGAGGTCTCTGGGGTATGGGGTACGCGGTTATGGCTCCTG